TTAAATCCAAATAAATCTTTTTATATTTAGGTCTTGAACCATCCCTCTCCAAATTTCAAATAAATTAATTTCCCTATCTAATATAAAAAATGATTCCCCATTTCTCTCTCTTCCCCCCTTTACAATTTTAACAAAAGTCTCTCTTTTTTTTCCACTCTCTTTTCCCCTCTCTCTCAATTTAAGGAAGCCACTTCATCTCTTAGCTCTTCTAAATTCCCTTTCTCTCTCTTTTCATCTCTGTCTCTCTTTATCTGTCTTCTCTTTCCCCTCTTAATCTCCCCTTTCTCTCTTTTCTCTTCCCCCTCTTCTCTTCCATTTCTGTCTCTCTTCCCCTCTAATCTCTCTTCCCCCTGGTTTTCTCTTCCCCCTTCTTCTTCATATTCATTTCTCTCTTTTCCAAATCTGTCTCCTCTTCAAATCTCTCTCTCTTTTTTTTAATATCGCTCTTCCTCTCTCTTTTTTGGCCTCCGGTCTGAATTAAAAAAAATTGGAAAATTTTCATGTTACTCACAGATTGGTAATTATTCGTACAAAAATAAAAATTGTGGCACTTTCGGCCAATAAAGGGGGGGTAGAGGCTGGAACACTAACTATCTTATACCTAATTAACCATTTTTATACCCATTTGATACATTACACCATTTACCCATTCACCAAAAGAACTCGTCCATCACCAAACAATCCTTCAACTACCATAATACCATATGCTCTCAAGGGAGACCTAATAAATCGCGCCCCATGCCATAAAAATTTTAATGATGATATATATATACAATTCTAATAATGATAAAATGAGAGGGGATGAAATGAACCCAAGAATAAACTTAAAATAAACACAAATACAAACTAAACATAATTGATGTTAGTCATTTCCAACCCATAAAACAGAGAGATACATGTATTCTGCCCAGGGGATTTAAAATCAAAGAGACGCTTTCACTAAAGGATTTTTTTCAAAGTATAAAATATTAGGCTGGAATGGGAAAATATAAAACTGACCCAGTCGAGATGAAAGGGGGGGAGCAAAACAATATATGCATATAGGGTCTAGTTAGGACTTTCATAGAGACAATGTCGTATTATGGTGGGTGTAGTAAGACAGGTAAGTAAGAATGCTCCACATTTTGTATTTATACAGATAAATATTGTTACTTACTAGCTGTGATACAGACTTCATATCACTATGTAAGGATGAAAAACAGAAAATTCTTACAGCTGCTTAAATGACCTTTCTAACATGGAATTTAAAGATAAATGAAGATAAAACAGAACACGCCATCATTGAAAGAAGAGACAGAAATACAGAGCAATGGAGATAATTAAAGAAAGTTGGCTCACTGATTGGAAATTCTGAAGGCATCATGAGAAGGAAACAGGAATCGTCAGTATGGAAAAGTTTGATAATCTATGGATAAAAAGGAGAAAAATAGGTTAAAGCTGTATAACACCTTGGTGAAACCAGTTTTAACCTACAACTGTGGAACTTGGGGCCTTGCAAAGAAGAGCAGGAGTTACACAGTTTCCCCAGACGACAACTACGAATTCTAATAGGGAAAATACCTTCATAATATCTACAACAAGAACTTGTACAGCAGAAGTCAAGAATCTCATTTGTCTTTTGAAAGCAAAATGGAAACTTCTTGGGCATATTTTTCGAATGGATCCAGATGACCAAGCTAAGAAAGCCATGGAGTTTTACTTTGAAAAGACTGACTTTAAAAAGTTCAGAGGTCATCCAAGAACCACCATAGTTAAAACGCTGAATCGAGACATTCAAAGAACAAGGCAGGAGGATCCCAATTTTGCTTTGGAGAAGTTTACAATCAAGGAAGATCTGCAACGAATCCGCAAACTGGCAGAGGACAGAGAAGGCTGGCAAAATATTGTCGAATATTTTTTCCTGCTTGGTTATTTTAGTTGCTTAGGCTAAATCACTTACCTCTCTGGCGGATCAGGGTTGAGGAGAGATAACAAAAAGGCAACATTTATTCAGAAACAGCAAAGGATAGGAAATTGTGGAGAGCCATGATCAACTTATTGATGGCTCACGTCACATAGAAAGAAGAAGAACGAGCTTAAATAAATGGATGACAGAACAGGGTTTAGGAAAGATAATAAAAAGATAATATTTATTAAGAGCTAGAACGGACAGGAAATTGTGGAGAGCCATGATCGCCAAATTTTTCTGGTGGATAACCGCACACAGAAAGAAGTAGAACGACCTTGAGTAAATGGGTGGCCGAACAGGGGCTTCTATCCAAAGGAAACGTCGTGAATATGACAATAAGGATGAGGACAACAGTCCGAACAATTTAAATAGCGAATGCAGCTCCTCGGAGCAACTTCCATGGAAATTGGTCCGAGGAGCTGCATTCGCTGGTTCCCAGACGTCACGAGTTCCAGCGCCCTACGAGGCTGGCATCCCGCCCGCTCTCACCCCTTCCCTGTCGAAAACTCCTAAATGTAGTCGTCTCTTTTGTACTCTAATAGCTTCATGTCTCGCACCTCTCGCCTGTGGAACTCCCTTCCCTTTTCCTGTTTCCCTGTGAGCTATAATCTCCAGCTATTCAAGTGTAATGTCAATCGACATCTCCAGTTGCCTTGATCTATCCACTTTTCTCATCCTTTTCTTCTATCAAAAATCTGATCTTGCTCTAAATTTTCTGTAACCCCTTGCGTCCTAGTGGCTTCCAGCCTTGCTTGGGGTGAAATGCTTATAAAAAAATAGTTACAATACCTCATCTAAGAAATATAGACAGATCCTAAAGAAAGCCGAAACCTAATTAATAAGACTTTAAAGATGAAGAAAACAGCCCGAACAACGTAAATATTGTAGATAGTTACAATAACTCATTTCAGAAATATAGACTGATCCTAAAGAAGCCCGGATCGTACAAATGTCGAAGCGTCGTGAATATGACAATAAAGATAAGGACAACAGTCCGAACAATGTAAATATTGCAAATAGTTACAATACCTCATCTAAGAAGTAAAGACAAGATCCCAAAGAAGGCCGGGACGTACAACGGGCGAAAATTCGTGAATATGACAATAAAGATGAGGAGAATAGAAGGAAAAATATAAATAGTGTAAGTAGTTACAATACCTCATCTAAGAAGTGTAGACAGATCCTGAAGAAGGCCGGAGCGTACAACGGCCGAAACGTTGTGAATATGACAATAAAGATGTGGAAAACAGCACGGACAATGTAAATAGTGTCAATAGTTACAATACCTCATTTCAGAAATATAGACTGATCCTGAAGAATACCATAGTGTACAAAGGCCGAAACGTCGTGAATATGACAATAAAGATGTGGAAAACAGTACGGACAATGTAAATAGTGTAAATAGTTACAATACCTCATTTCAGAAATATAGACTGATCCTGAAGAATAACACATCGTACAAAGGCCGAAACGTCGTGAAAATGCAATAAAGATAAGGACAACAGTCCGAACAATGTAAATAGTGTAAATAGTTACAATACCTCATTTCAGAAATATAGACTGATCCTGAAGAATACCATAGTGTACAAAGGCCGAAACGTTGTGAATATGACAATAAAGATGTGGAAAACAGCACAGACAATGTAAATAGGGTAAATAGTTACAATACCTCATTTCAGAAATATAGACTGATCCTGAAGAATACCACAGCATACAAAGGTCGAAACGTCGTGAAAATGCAATAAAGATAAGGACAACAGCCCGAACAATGTAAATAGTGTAAATAGTTACAATACCTCATTTCAGAAATATAGACTGATCCTGAAGAATACCATAGTGTACAAAGGCCGAAACGTCGTGAATATGACAATAAAGATAAGGACAACAGTCGGAACAATGTAAATAGTGTCAATAGTTACAATACCTCATTTCAGAAATATAAATTGATCCTGAAGAATACCGTAGCGTACAAAGACCGAAACGTCGTGAATAGGACAATAAAGATAAGGACAACAGTCCGAACAATGTAAATAGTGTCAATAGTTACAATACCTCATCTCAAATATATTGACATTCTTTTTATTTTATACTGTCTTTGTAGAAATGTATGTCCATTAAAATAGCCTTTTGGTATTCGTAGGTGTGTTTCTGCACAGTCACATGACACATCATCATGATGGTGTTGACATACGTATTTTATTTCACTGTTTTGCTTTCCAATATGTCGCATTCGTTAGTTGTATAGCAATGACTTTTAACAAGAGAGGGTAATTAAAAACTGTTACCATAATAAATATAGGACTAAAACGAAAATGTTAAAAATAGAGACCGAGTCAGATATCCCGGCAGTATCCCGATGGGGGGGGGACAACTCTTTCTTTGTTTCCTTGAAAACTGTCCGCCTACCGGAAGTCGATGGCTCACATAACCGACACAGGTACGCGTACCACAGTTTTAATAGCACTGTCTAGGTGTTTTGCCTGCAAGCAATGAAGTAAATATGGAAGTATTATGATAGGTGTTAGGTAAAAAATTATTTGTTCATCTATTTTTCCATAAACCCTCTAGATTTTTTTTTTAAATATGAATTTTTAGAATTGTGTTGATAGTTTATGCACTCCCTGTACTATGTCAGGAAATTCACGAACCAAGAGTTTATTCCGCTAGGCTACTGTCCTGTGGTACAATTCTGAGTAAAGCGTAACCCTTGACCCAACCCAATTCTAATATGCGCTGCTGCACTTACCAGCATCTGAAGCGTTGCGATAGCAACAACAAAGATAGGAACAACAGTCCGCGTGTAAATAATGCAGATAATAAATTCGCCAGCTTTCTGGTTCTTTTGAGCGTGATGAAGCGAAACTCTGAAGTCGGTCATTGAGATGAGTCAATTGAAGTTTTTAGTGATTTATTGAATTGGGCATCTATAGTTCTTTTATTGAGTCTGCGCTTTCAGTATGTTCCGTAGAACTATTTTCGAAATCATCTTCGTCGACATGAGTGTGTCTTGTAATAGCCCGAATTATCCAGAGTAGCTGCAGTATCAGGGGACACAAGAAAAGCGTTATGAAGACTATTGTGAACGTGAATATAATTTTTCGATTCTTGAGTCCGTTTCGGATTCCGTGGTAGCAACCGGTTTTCTTCAGGATGTGCTCCTCTTTGCAACTGTACAGATCCTGTTTACGGTGATAGCAACAAGAACGCGGATATCGGTCCTTTCCAAACAGCTCCGTATAAAAATTGTAGTCGGCCGGCCCACGGACGCCGCAACAATCCAGAAACACTTCGGTCTTTTCAATCAACGCCCTGACCTCATTACTTTCGCCGGCCCCTCTCTGTAACAGGTCGGTGAGGACGCTTAAATAACAGTACATGTACGTATCGTTAACAGAGATCGTCGAGGCTGCGCTGTAAACGAGAAACAAAGACAGAAAACTGATAGCAGCGACCCAAAAGTAGAGAGCGATTTTCAGAAGCCTCGGGTTTAAATTTCCCGCTCCTATGATGGAGAAAACGCCAGAAAGAATGACGAAGGAACCTACCGGAAGTGACAAGACAGCTTGAATGTATATGTGCGTAAAAGTGGTAGTGATGTCTATGCCGCCAAATTGATCGCTCTTGGTCTTGCAGAGGTCCTCCAGCACATTGAAAAGCTGGGTTGTGGGGACGTTCAAATACAGAATAATGACACTCAGAAAAATTAACAGGAAGCCGGCGATCGTGGTAAGGGAAGAAGAAGTAATAAAACTGATTTTGACGAGCCGGAACATCTCTCTTGGACGGTCTGCGATTTAGCGATGACACCAGTTATCGACGACAGATATTGATGATGTCACAATGGAGGATCTAAAAGACTTATTCGCGTTTTGTAATCTAAAGCAACCAAAAAAAAATCTAGTTTGTGTCTTCCTTCTAGGCCTTTCGCTCGAGAGGAAAGCGGAGTAAGAGACTGCGATGACGGTGCATTAAAATTGAAAGATTATAAAATATCTATCGCATTCTTTACAACAGACGCTGATGACGTCACAATGGCGAATATATATGGTGTTTCAATTGACCATTGATGACAATTCCAGGACAACGTAACTATAAACAATTTTTTGCTCCGCACGCCTTCTACCATTGCCCCTGGGTCCGCCCTTTATGGGACCATGTCGGCGAGCTGACGGCTCGTCTCGCTCCCGAAAAGCTTGTGCCCATTGATCGCGCATACGCGTGTGACAATGTGTCGCCCCCGTATTCCGGGGTGAAACGAATGGTGTTTCTGACGCTTCTAGCCACGGCCCGAATGGTGATTTGGACGACGCGACAGGAGGAAGTCTTGCGGGGTATCCGTCTTTCTCATCAGGATCTGATCCGATTCTTTGAGCATCAGCTCAAGATGAAGATAAGAACTGATAGAAAACACTTGCATTCGACAGTCTTCAGCGAAAGGTGGGTGACTGAGGCGAGCTTGGTTCGTTTGAACGGGGCTAGCCTTGATTTTCTTTTAGGTCAAGCCTACTTCACATCGGGGTGCTTTCTTCTGGTGCCCTTCCCTTGGTTAGGTTAGACAAGCGTTTGTGTACCTAGTTAATGTGAGTAAGTGTTGTTCCCGGCCTGCCCCCCGGCCACATCTTTAGTTATGATTCAGCCTGAGATTCCCAACCTCCCCAGTTTGTTTTTGGCCTTTTTTACCTCGTCTGGGTCAGCTTTATATTTTCCTATGCCCGTATGATTTTTTTATACTTTTCCCATTCTCTTAGCGAGAGGGCTGCTTGATTTTGTCCCATGGGCAGAATACAGTGGCCTCTGTTTTGAGGGTTGGACGGGCCCTACTAACATCAGTTATGTTTAATTTGATTTGTGTTAAATTTTTAGTTTGTTATTGGGTTCATCTCCTCCCACTCTCATTTTTTCATCATAGAATTTTATATATATTTTAGTATCATTAATTTTTTTTATGACACGGGGAGCGTTTTGTAGATCTCCCTAAAAAGAATGTGGTATTATGGTGTGTGGAGGATTGAGTGGTGACGGACGAGTTCTTGTGGTGAATGTGGAAATTGTAATGCATGAATGGGTCGTGAATCGGATTAGCTAGGTGTAGGATAGTTAGTTAAGACCAGCCTCAATTCCTCCCCTTTTTCGGCCTTGTGCCACAATTGTAATTTTTTACAATAAATATTTGGAATAATGATGGCAAAAGGCCAAAAGGAGACATGGGGAACGCTAAAGCATCTTTTTTTAATTTAGTAAACAAAAAAGTACGAAAAAAAAAATCAAATGTTTGAATTAACGTTTAATTTTTAAGGGCAAGGGCGTAAAACAAAGACAAGACGACACGAGCCGTGTTTTAAAATGCAGACGATAAATGTATTAAAACACAAATTTGAGAGAATTACACAAATTAAGTGTTTTATGTGGCAAATTTATTTGGTAAAGAAACCACGGGAAAAAATATATATCAAACAAATCTTTGAGGTCACGTTTAATTTTTAAGGCCAAGGATGTAAACAATGACAGACGACACGAGCCGTGTTTAAAAATGCAGACGATAAATTTATTCAAACACAGAATTGAGATGATTACACAAATTAAGTGTTTTATGTACCAAATGATAGCCAATGACATGTATGTACAAATAATTACTGCAAATAAAATATGCCTTTTTTTACAATAAAAATCATTACTTTGCATATGGTTCCCAAAAAAAGTGAACTACATTAACAAAAAAAGGGGGGGAGTACTTCTCTGATTAATTTTCAAAATATAAGCACAATGTTTAAAGCAAAGTTCGTGGTAACAGCTAAAAATAGAACAATCACACAAGCCAAAAATTTTTCTTGATGTGGAGGCGACTTTGAAGTTCTTTTCAAATTCTCGTCTGGTGGTCGTCAAATTTCTGGTATTTTTTCCTTGACCCGACCGAGCTGGTTTCCTGCAGCAGTTGTTCGTCGACTCCATGAATTCAATTCTCTTTTATCTTTTATTCACCAAGATAGGCTCCAGATTTGCTTCTCGGAATTTGGAAGGAAACATTTTGATTCATTCCGAGTTAAAAAAAAAACCCAAATGTAGTGATTGTAAAAATTCGAAATTTTAAGCAGCGTCTATTTTTCATCCGAACCAAATCAAAAGGTTTTCCACCAAATTCTGGGAAGTGAATTAGAAGCCTACCTGAATCAATAAAAGGGGGCTTTGAATGTAAATCAGAGGAGTCGGCGAACGGGGGCTAGCCTTGATTTTCTCTTTTAGGTCAAACCTATCGGGGTGGTTTCCTGTGGAGCCCTCCCCCTGGTTAGGTTAGACAAGCTTTTGTGTACCTAGTTAATGTGAGTAAATGTTGTTCCTAGCCTGTTTCCGGCTACATCTTTTGTTATGATCCAAATTGAGATTCCCAAACTCCCCAGTTTGTTTTTGGCCCCTTTTATCTCAACTGGGTCAGCTTTATATTTTCCTATGGCCGTATAATTTTTTATCCTTTTTCCACTCCCTTAGCGAGAGAGCTTCTTGATTTTGTACAAATGGGCAGAATACAGCGGCTTCTCATTTTTTAAGGCTGGGCGGGCCCTACTAACATCAGTTATGTTTAGTTGCTTTTGTGTATAGTTTAATTTCTTACTGGGTTCATCTCTTTTCCCTTTTATTTTATTCATCCATAAATTTTTAAAGTGTACATATATAACCATTATATTTTTATAGTTTGGGGCGCGTTTTGTAGGTCCTCCTTGTGAGGATGCAGTATTATGGTGTATGGAGGATTGATTGGTGATGGATGGGGTTTTGTGGTGAATGGGCAAATTGTAATGAGCGAATAGGTCGTGAATCGGATTAGCTAGGTATAGGATAGTTAGTTAAGACCAGCCTCAATCCCTACCCTTCGTCGGCCTTGTGCCATAATTGTATTTACCACAATAAATATGAGTCGTCGAAAAGTTTCTGCAAGAACACAGGTCGTCCCGGTCCAGGAAGTAAAAACAACGCAAGAAATTTGGCGACCAGCAGACGAGAATTGAAAGAAACGTCACAGTCGATTTCATATCAAGGAAAAATCTTCGGCTGGTGTGATTGTTCTATTTTTCACTGTTACCACGAACTTTGATACGAAAATTGCACCACATCTTTGAAAACTATGCAGACAAGTATTTCCTCTTTTTTTCATGTAATTTTTTAATCTGTTTTTCTTTTACAATTTTCGAGGACTTAATATAATTTTTATTGTAAAAAGGTATATTTCATTGGCATTGATTATTTTTAAATACAGGTTATTGGCCATCATTTGGCTCACAATGCACTTTATTTGTGTAATTCTTTCATTTGTGTGTTAACAATAAATTTATCGTCTGTTTCTTTAAACTCGGCCCGTATCGTCTTGTCTTTGTTGTGGCCCTTATAGATTAAATGTTATCAAAAAAAAAAAAAAAATTAAACTATTTTTTTCGTAGGGTTTTTTTTTTACCAAATAAAGCATCCTTTAATAAAGTTAGTGTTATGGTCCAGGTTAGGACCAAGGAAGAACAACACGAACACAAGAGTAGAAATAACGAAGGTATATTACACAAAATAATAATACAAGATGTGGAAGGTGTTAGCATGACTGTCAGTCGGGTTTGGAGTGAACTACTATCGGCCATTGTTATGGTCCAGGTTAAGACCAAGGAAGAACAACACGAACACAAGAGTAGAAATAACGAAGGTATATTACACGAAATAATAATACAAGATGTGGAAGGTGTTAGTATGACTGTCAGTCTGGTTTGGAGTGAACTACTATCAGCTCGACTCGATTCGGTATCTAGCCCCCCCCCCACGAGGGTTGCATGTGGGTTTCCCGAGCCCGTAGGCTTTTCCAAAAAATGGCCGTAGAACCCGTATTAAACGGGATCAGGTTGACCATTTTTGTCCCCGAACGAGACTCTGCCCTTCGGCGAAGCCTAGTCCGGGTTCCTCTCTGCTCAGAGGCAGAGAGTTCGACCGTCAAGCCGAGAAACTCGACTCGATTCGGTATCTAGCCACCCCCCACGAGGGTTGCATGTGGCACAAGGCAGAGTTTAACGTGGGTTTCTCGAGCCCGTAGGCTCGGCCAATAAATGCCCGTAGAACCCGTATAAACGGGATCGGGTTGGTCAACCTCCCCGAACGAGACTCTGCCCTTCTGAGAGCGATTGAATATGAGAAAAAATAATAATATTACTAAGAAGAGAGGACAATAAAGGAAGATGTGAAGGAGGAGCCATGGTCAAATGTAAATTATCGAACTGCCCAAGAAACAGAATTAAGAAAGTTTGTTATAAACAACAACAAGGAAAAAAACGCCCTGGATATGACGATAAACTACATCCGCGTCCTGGGTAAGACGGCAAACTACGCCCAACAGCAAAGACTCTGACAAGGAAGTTCTGAGGAGCGTGGAACCACTACTTAATTGCTGGTGTTCTCAGGCCCACCCTAACCCGGAGTTGTAGCATCAGTTAGGGATCGCAGCTATGGACAAATAGTTAACAGCCAAACTGCGGTCAAAACTAAATAATAAAACACATAATAAACTAAGTATTGGTGCCGACACTCACACAAGAAAGTTCGGACAAGCGAACATAGTGATCTGACTTCAAACGAGCGGACATAGTGTTGTGACTTCGGACAAGAAAATATAGTGTTCTCTTTCCGGACAAGCGAAAATAGTATTCTGACTTCGGACAAGCAAACATATTGGTGTGTCTTCGGACAAGCATACATAGTGTTGTGACTTCGGAAGCAAATATAGTGTTCTCTTTCCGGACAAGCGAAA